ATGCATGGTTTTTATTTAAACCGAGTTATTTTTTGCTTCCTTCAGATTTCCAGCTCACTCTTGTCTTATCTCCTTTCTTCTCCTTATTGTTTTTTTATATTTTATAGGCTGCAGCTAATATCATAAGATGATTTCTGGTTTTTCCACTACTGCTGCTGCAGTTGTCATTCTATTGTGTATCACTGTAGCTCAAGGTACTGACTGCTCTGCTCTGGCCAGTGCTGGTAACTGCAGTTTCTATGATTGTTTCCATACTAAATTCAACTGTGATGCAAAGCAGTATCCTCTTCGCCGTGGTAAACGCTACTGTCAGAAATACATTGATGAATCGAGTTGCTTCACAACAGCAGTAAGTACATTGATTGCATTGATGTGTGCCCTACAACAATTTAACTTTGTTGAAAGCAACTAGGGGTTAGTTTGATGTACTGTCAAATAGAATTTCAGTCAACTGAATTTCCATATAAATTTTAAAAGCTATCATTAAAGTTGCTTTGAACAAGTAGCAGGTAGCTTTGATATCTGATGTCCCCATATGTGAATATTTCCTAGGAAACCGCTACAATATGTAGTCTAATTTGATTACACCTTTCTTGATATCCTCAATGTAAATTCTGTGAAAGCTAAAACATCCTTTCAGCAATATTTCTAAGAAAGCAATGCATGATTAAATAACTCCAAGTTTAAGCTACATAAAATGCCATAAATTTCATAGTAGAGCTGAAGCATAAATTCACCAAAGCATGTCTTTATACATGAATTATTATTATCTTAGGGTCAAGGATGGATTACTAATGTCCGTAGATGTTTGATGCAGTCTATTGTCAACAGTGCTCTCTATAGTAATGCAAATACTGATTGTGGCGAGTTTGAGGCATTTGCTGTTGCAAGCCGTCCTCAGTGTTACACTGATAATGGGTTCTGTACAGATATATTCTTATCACCTAACTGTCAGAACCTTAATTGTATTCAAGATAAAATTTATGATGATAATAAAAGTTGGGATAGAAGTTCACTAAATCAGGTAAGAAAGTATTATTTATTGTTATCACTAATATTATTATTGTTATTATTATCATCATTATCATTATTACCACTTATCATTACCATCATTATTACTATTATCATGATCATTATCAATAAAAAAAATCAAGAAGGGATAATGATGATAGCATACATACATGTAGTGTTAGAGCATGTGGTATTGATAAGGCATATTGTAAGTAGAAATAAGTATTAGTGGATAAGAGTCACATAATGGTAGGATTGATTCCAAAAAAAACCAATATTGACCACTGATTCATTGTATGGATCAGGTGCCTCTGAGACATAGATTGGTGGCCCTTAGTAATGAGTAAGAGGGTTCAGTATGGACCCAGTTCATTAAGACTGATACCATAATGAATCTCCCACCTTATACTGAGAGACTGTTTAAGGAAACATTCAGCTTCCTTATATACCCATCAGACCATCAGTTGTAAAGCAAAGAGGAGTAAAACTACAATGATGGGATTCGCAAGCAGCAAAGTATTATCTCTTTTTCTCTAATTTAGCAGAAAAGTACCACAATTGACTGTGGAGGTTTACTAGAATAAGAATGAGAATCAGAACCATAGTCTAAAATATAAACATCAAACATAGCAGTACACTCCCTTTGCCAAGTACTACAGATGGCCATATCAGTGATAAGACCTTCTGATTGAGTTCTATTCGAAACAAATGATGACAGTTCACATAAAAGACCACCATTTCTGCAATCTAGAGCATGAATGGTAGTGAAAGTGGCACCACAACCATCAGAGACAAGAGGAAGATCATTAAGTGGCTTCATATATCGTAAATAAATAGCACCACAAAACTTTTGAGCAGAAAGGTTAAAATTGTCAGACTTTAAGGAGGGTTTATTTAAGCATCGAATCTCCTTTGACCTTATAATGCTGGCTCTCTGATGATGACTAACAAACTGGTTATTATTATCATCTCATCATCATTATCATCTCATCATCATTATTATCATCATTGATGGTTCCCTCTATGGGATTCTTTGTTACAGTTGTTGTCTTTTGTTATTATTATTATTATTATTATTATTATCATTATTATATTCTACTTTTATAGATTAAAACAACAACTGCTTCATGCCCTTCCCAGATTGCTACATTCCTTAGTGATGCTCCACAGTGTGATAGACCTGACACTTCTCTTGTATCTGTTATACAGAATTATTTAGGTATGTATATACTTCAGCACTGTGTAAGAGTATGCTATTCTTCTCTTTGTACAGATTGTACTGCAAGGGCTTTTGATTTTATTATTTTATTGGATGCATCTGGAAGTGTTGGGTCTAGTAACTTTGAGATAATGAAAAACTTTGTTGCAGACATGCTGTCTAACTTTACCATTGGACCAAACGACACTCGTGTTGGAGTCATTCGTTTTGCTAGCAGTCCATCAGTTGTTATCCCATTGGGTTCCATTAATACTTATTCACAATTGGCTACTGATATTAGAGCTATAACATACACTCAAGGAGGCACAAACACTGCTGCAGCATTGGATTTACTAAGCACTGCATTTGCTACTGCTCGTGTTAGTGAAGGTATCCCTCGTGTAGCTGCTGTTTTTACTGATGGAATGTCTAATGACGCTGCAGCAACAGTACAATCTGCTCAAGCTGTCCATAATGACAAGATTACTGTTTTTTCTTTTGGTATTGGAACTGGTGTCAGTAATGCAGAATTAATTGCCATTGCTT